CATTATAATGCCCCCACGGCTGAAAGGGCGAGCATGTTTGGTAGGACGGTGGTTCGAGCCCGCGACCCTCAGATTGCGAGTCAAGTGCCCTAACCACCTGGCCATGCCGGGCCATTAGTGATATAGTGGCACTGAAACTGAAATATTATTTGCTTCTTCTTCATAACGACTATGAAAAAGTCTTGCTTGGCAGATTTCAAACTTCAACTTTTGCTTGTAAAACTGGTTTTATAAATTTTCTTTAAATAGTTTCAAATATCAGATTTAACGCATCAGTTTTCATGGGCGTAGAGCTAGTTTATCACAGATTTATTGAATTGTGAGTAAAAATTAATTGACAATTCTCTCAACTTAAGATTCAACTCTGGATGTCATGGTTTTTATATCGTTATAATGTCAATTCAGTTTTTGGAGGCGGTTAAGGAATTTTTTTGTTGTTGTAAAATATATTTACACTACAATTATTCTTTCATTCCAAAACTAATTCATAAGTTATATCTGTTTAATAATAAAACAAAAGACGAACTTAATAATAGGAAGCATTTATTAATCGTTTAATAAATGCTTCCTATCATTACGTTCTTATTTTGCTTTATTACTAAGTTACATTTTCCGAAAAATGATTGATTATATTTGTTTGTTTTTAACCCTCAATATAGGTTTTACCTGCTAATCAATAAGTAAAGGTTATTTAAGTTATTTGTTTCTGCGTTGCGTTAGATGGTAAATGATTGCTTTAAAATCTCAAGTATATTTCCACTGCTCTTAGGATGTCTTGTAATTTGTCCAAATGTTTTTATCTATATTTAATACGATTTATTTTATATGTGTGTGTGCTATCAACTGCGCAACTGTCAATATACTTTTTACGTAAGGGCGCATGCGTCAAAAAGAATAACGGATTCATTTAACCTTAACGTGTGTGATTGGCTGATATCGTACGTGTGACGTTGCTGCTAGCCTTGCATAGCTAAATCTCTGTAAGCGAGGCGTTTTATATATGAGCGCTTACGATGAAAAATGTTTTATGCAATAGTTAACTATTCTCACGAACTGCACTATTTCGTGCACGCATTACTCTTTACATCATTCTTCTGAATCGGACAAATAAATTGTTCTGGTTGTGTCCTAGTAATTCAACTGATGAACCGAACTTTTACAAAAGAGAAAGGATACACACGAATCAGAAGTTGATTTAACTGGCGATTTTCCCTTGAATCTCTTGAAGTAATGACCTACTTTCAAGAGCTTCTTCTCTTAAAGGACATGCGATAATTGTGTTACCTGCGTGTTATTTAGGTAGCTCTCTCCTCAGCCATGTGGTTGCGATATTGGAGCTACTTAACCAACTTCAAGTGGACCTTCGCTCTAGGAATTCTTCTAATTTTGGGTATGGTGTATCTTTATAGTAGTTATTATTTACTTTTTTTGTGAAATTACAGACGTTGTATTGAATTGTTTTTTCCATATATGTATGTATATGTGTGTGTTTATTAGTTATATTTCTATTTTTCTTGACTGAAATTTAATATAGTAATCCGTGTTTTAAATGCGCACGAGTTTTATTTATGTATTACATTATATTTTTAAACAATACATACTGTTCAATAGTTTTTGCAAATATGGTTTATGCGACAAGATCGAACTGATAGTGCTAGCGTAAAATAGTCCAGGATAAAGAAAAGTTTAAAACTCTTCGTATTTTCTATGCGTTCAATATTATAAAAAAACACAATAAAAAAGAACAACAACAAAAAAACAACAACAACAAAAAAAAACCCACAGCAATTCGACGTAAAAGTAATGTAATATTTTTTTATAAATAATATTTATTATATACTTCTTAACGTTATAAAATATTTAAATTTGTGATGTCATCTGTTGAACAATTCCCCAGTTTTTCAGACTGGCAACCATCTTTACGTATTCAAATTTTAAATGACTTTTTCTTCAAGATGAAATTGAAACAATAACTTTGTTCATTGGTTAACATGATGGTACAATCAAATTAAACTTTATCGGAGTTTAACCCAGATTGCGTATTGTTTACGAAATACTATTTTTTTGGCGATATGAGGGTGTAACACCTAACGAGTTAATTCGTTTGCTTCAAGGACAGTATAGGTATTTGGTAAGTTACCCAAACTCTTTTAGTGTGCTTTGTTTCACCATAAAGCTGAAATTAAAAATATTATCCGATATATTTTGATTCGATTGGTAACTCACAGTAGTTAAAGTGAGACTAAGGAGATCCCTCCCCCCTCTCCACCAAGCTATATGGAACGAGGTGTCAAGAGGAGCTGAAACAATATTATAGGATAATTGAAAGCTTCTGGAGGAAGTATCATGAGGAGCACGCGAAAACTGGTATTCATAATATCGAAATTGTAGTTAACTATTCACGATGAGTGGATCTGGGAGCGATGGGTGTAGCGAAACTTTTACCTTTCATGTAAAGTCGTTCAAGGTTGTACAGCTATGGTTGTCATCGAAACTAATGATGACTTGTTTCTTCTCCAGTATGTTTTATAAACTTTTGTAAGAAGAGTGATCTGGTCACTGCTACTCCTTCAGCTCCACTTTAACCTCTACTTATTGACATTTTATATTCTTAAGGACAACATAACTAACAGTAGTTTTGTAAAGGCTTTTGACTGGTATGAAATATATATGTTTCATTGAATATCAAGTTTCTCAATTAATAAAAGAGTAACTCAAAACAAACATTGAAAGAGCCACTTACGGTCCAGAATTATCCATTAGAGTAAGACTAAAATATTACTGTTTTAAAGATGGCTTTGGCAACATTAGTATCATTAATAGTGAATTTTCAATACCGACTGCATTTCATTAGTCTTATGATGTATAACATTTCGTTATCCACACTGAGGCCTCAGCAAAAATACACCAGGAGACTTCATTCAAGTCAATTTTATTAAATATTCACTCCTATAAAATTCTAACTTTTGTACTTTTAGATATTTATTCTTCTTTGTAACAATCTTGGTTATTTTTGAAAACACTTTTATAATTAGTTAATCTGCATTATTTTATAAAGGTAATAATATATTAAATAAAAAATATAGATGAATTGTTCTTTGGGCCTAAAATAATCGAAGAAGTTTTCATGAATCCTTATGATAATCATAAAGAAAAAATAAACTGTTTTTGCGTAAGTTATTTTAGTTCTACTTTATCTAATTTTGTTCCTATAACAAACTTAAGTAATATAATAAACTTTCATAAAGAAACTGTACTTTTCTTTCTAGCCTCTACGTCACAGTAAAAAAAGTAATAACATAGATAATTCCAATGTGTTTATTACTTGATAATGTCACCTTACGTTTTGACTATCGTACATTTTGTTTATTGATATTCTGGTTTCACAGTTTTTCTCATATGCATATTTTCAAGGTATTTAACCGTAAAATAACTTAATAATTTAAATAAGTTAGCATATTTTAAGGTAGTTGTTAATTAGCATTGTGGGCCAGGCATAGCCTACAGGTTGACGTATCCGGCTGCGGACAAAAGGTCCAAGGTACGAAACGTAATATGCCGTTGAACACTCTCCGCACTTTCAGCTATGTAGACAGTACAGCTATGAAAATCAATCTAGTCATACGGTTAAAAGTAGTTGCATAAGCGGTAGGGGGATAAAAGATGCTGATTGGTTGCCCTCTTTCTGGATGGCAGTTCTAGATTATGGATGACTATGCTTGAATCTTAGGGGTTTCTTTCCTGACTGTTTAGCCCATGTGTTACACAAGATGCTATTCAGGTTAAATATACCAGATAACCTAGTTATGTTCTAATTTAGACTAACTATAATTAATATTGTGAATATATTCTGAGAAACCAATGACTAAAAGTATAAGAAAACGGTGTTTTAAACGACGCCTGGTAGTGAGACACAGCATGAATTTTCTGCATTTTCTAAATACAACTCAACACTATTAAGAGCTAAAGTTTAGTCGTTTTTACTACTTGCTAAAAAAATTTTAAAAATCAACAAAATAGCAATTATTTTAAACTAGGCTTAAACGAGATACAGAAATCAAAACACGAGGAAATCTTGTGAAGTGATAATACCAAACACCAATCTTAGAATTGCCTCATTAGCTGATGAAATAACTTATTTGTTATTCCCTTGTTAATTACAAGTTAAATATATATATATGGTATGTATGGAACTTGCCAATAAATTCTTCTAGAAAAAATTCACTATCAAATTAAAAAACTGCAGTAAATTGTTTTACCCCAGTTATATACTACTTTAAATCAGCGACCTCTTTAACAAAAATTGTAACAGGTTATTATAAAAATTATTCAACCAATATTTGCATAAAAATCACACACATACACACACACACACAAATAACATAATTCATAAGGTGATTTATTTTATACATCGTTAATTTGTACACGTGTATTTGTTAAAATTCTCATGCATGACATGTGAATGTGTAGCTTTGCGCTTAACACGAGATATAGTGAACTACTTTCTTAGGTAATTTGTTTGCCATTGTGGAGACTACGTGCCGAACTTGAGCAAGGTCTATTGAGCCAAATACGAGTTATAACAGTGTAGCTGTAATCAAAGCATAAATAGTCCATTCTGTAGCTTTGCGCATAACAACAAATGAAAGGACAAGTAAACAACAACAACACAATGTTACTCGGAAAATGCATGACATTTCCTAAGACAAAATTTATATCATTGTGTGAAATGATACGTCATGTGATATCACAGCAAGCAGGACTATATTGAACATGTCGCTAACAGCAGTCTATTGACTTATCCCAAGTGTCCAGTGCAATGTTACGAAGAGGGGTGCCGTTCACGTGTCACGTGACAGAATTATTGTAACATGTGGGATATATAAAAAAATCATTAAAAAAAGTAATTAGCTTCAGTACAGTTTAACGCCTTTACAAAACCAGGAAAATATAATATTAGAACAGTAACTAAATGTATATTACATTAATAAATACGTGTTTGCAACAATGAGCAATGGTTATGTTTTGAAGATCTGTTAATCTGTGAATCGAATCTGACAGAAAACGTCAAACAGCTTTCACGATCCACATTCTCTCTCTATAGTTGATTAATCGCAAATATGGGTCACAAGTAACCAGAGGCCAATCGTAAGGTAGTCCCTCATACACAGGGCAACATATGATATAATACAAAGAACCCATGAAACAGTAGGTAGCCTTCTTAACCTAGTCCTGCTGCAGAAAGAGCTGAATAAGAACACGACCTTGACCGGATTTACCATAATTAAAACTACATACAAAATTAATTTTAAAAGTATGAAAAATAAAATAGTGCGATATGTGATATCTACATCCTCAAACTAATAAGCTATTTCATATACTCCAATAATTGCATGTTGTTACTTGCAGAGTGTAAAATCACACATGTATAATTATCACATTAAATATATTACTAAAACATATTTGTGCACAAATTCGTACTAAAATTATCTAAAGTCTGGTTGAAGTTTAGAACTGTGCATCAATTTATACAGAGAAAAACAGCAACATACACAAACCATAAAGAAAATATAAATAAGGGAAGTATTTTGACTCTTAAGATATAATAAGTGACCGCTAACATAATATAAATAAGGGAAGTATTTTGACTCTTAAGATATAATAAGTGACCGCTAACATAATATAAATAAGGGAAGTATTTTGACTCTTAAGATATAATAAGTGACCGCTAACATTGAACATTCTGCAAAGTGAAAGCACGAAACTGTTTACACAAACAATAGAATGTATTACCTCAAACTAAATTAACTTTAGTGTAATCTGCATGAAAAAACAGTTACATACACGAAATATTCAATAAAAACAGGCTCGTTAGTTTGTTTTGGATCTCTGTACTAGCCGCTCCCGGTTTTGAATTGATAGGCTAGAAGAAAGGCAGCTAGTCAACAATACCCACTGTCAACCCTCGAATTAAAGGGGACTTGATCGTTACTCTATTATAACAGACCCACGACCTCAAATGTGGAGCAATTTTGTGTGTGTGTGTGTGGTAAACGGACGCAAACCATGGACCCTCGGGTTCACATTTTGGTATGATAACTACTTGGCGATGACTGGCTCACGCTCATTAGAAAATTAGTTTAGAGGTAAGGCTTTGGTATCTCACACTGAACAATACGTGGTGCGTCACATAGACTAAGTGGTCATGTTAGAGACTTGAAGAGTCCTTAATCTATAACCGTTGATCAGAGAGAGTGTACCCAGTCAGTAGTACCCGCTGCCTACACGACTACTCTTAACAGTATAATGGGATTGACTCTCACTTGTCAAATAGTCTCACAGATGAAAGTGCGCAACGTGTTCAGAGGCATATCGTGGCTTGAACCTTGGCCTTTCTGTCCGCAGTACGACACACTAGCCACTAGACAATGTCCAACTTTATATAAAATAGCTTTGTTTGCTTGTTTTCGGATATTTGTGCAAATGTACTCAAGTGCTACTTGCACTAGCTGGCCTTACTCTTTTGAACAGACAGACTAGAGGGAAAGCAGCTAGTCAACAGCAATGACGTTTTTGCTAGACCGAATAATGAGCTTTGACCGTCGCCTTTATAACGCATAAAAGGCCCCAAAATGCAGATCGATTTTTTATATTTATTTTTTACGGCAACGGAATGCGAAGGATAGACCCTAATCATTGAGTCACATTCGGTTTGAGGAAAGAACTAGATAGTCTTGACCAATGATCATTGAGTCATGTTCGGTTTGAGGAAAAAAACTAGATAGTCTTGACCAAAATACTCACCAACTCTCAAAGTACGTAATTTTGTTATTTGTAGTAAGGAGATTAACGAACAGATTCAAAAGAAACTTCAAACAAATTTGTAGTTATGGTCCTGTTAATTTTGTTAGTTAGTAAGTTGCTTGGAGTCTATGTACATTACAAGAATGACAATGAATATTATAAACCATATATCGGAATATTAAAAAACCTGCAGTCAAAACATTTTGATTTTATATATTGATTACTTTACCAGAATTCTGTATGGCCCGGCATGGCCAGGTGGTTAGGGGAATTCTGTATGGCCCGGCATGACCAGGTGGTTAGGAGAATTCTGTATGGCCCGGCATGGCCAGGTGGTTAGGGGAATTCTGTATGGCCCGGAATGGCCAGGTGGTTAGGGGAATTCTGTATGGCCCGGCATGGCCAGGTGGTTAGGGGAATTCTGTATAGCCAGGCATGGCCAGGTGGTTAGGGCGCTCGACTCGCAATTTACTGGCGCGATTGTCATTGCTGACGGGATGAAATATGGATCCGTCGTGTCAAGATCGACTTTTCTGCACTTTTTTCATATCTTGACTTGTATATATTGTCTAATTTGCTAGTAAATGAACGGAGAACTAGGTGATTGTGTAGCGGAGGTCATGTTTATACGAATAACGTTTACGTCCAATATGGCCGCAAATTGTTGCCGTGTTTACTTTGGTCACATGACTGCATAACCTCTATATCAGTTTATATGGCCTGACATGGTCTGATGGTTAGGTTATTCGAGTTGCAATCCCTGAGCATGTTCGAATCCCTGTCACCAAGCATGCTCGCCCTTTCAGCCGTAGGAGCGTTATTATGTCACGGTCGATTCCACTATTCATTGGTAAAAGAGTAGCCCAAGAGTTGGCGGCGGGTGGTGATTACTAGCTGCCTTCCTTCTAGTCTTACACTACTAAATTAGGGACGGCTAGCGCAGATAGCCCTCGTGTAGCTTTGCGCAAAATCCATAACAAACAAACAGCGGTATGTCTAAGGGCTTTTAACGCTAAAATAGGGTTTCGATACCTTCGGTGGGCAGAGCACATGTAGTCTACTAAGCCTTGCTCTTAACAACAAACAAACGAAAAGTTTCGCTGCACTTAGCTTTTTATTATAAACTGCATTCTGTATGAAATGAATTATCTGTTGTGTAACTGATGTATTTAATTTAGAGAGCAAGTTTAGAAACAAAAAATATATACTTATACTTTATAATAAGTTAAGAAAGGTTTACTAGTAATACTACGAAGTGTGAAATGTTAATTATAATGACTTTTTAAAACATTGCATTTCTTGAAACTCAAAAGATATGTAACCTACGATATTGAGTTATTTTCAATTGGAACTTAACTATTTCATGCAAAATATAACACAAAAATAGGGCATCCACACATAGAACAACCAGTGGACATTTGTCGACTATAGCTTTTTCTTATCCCACGCCATAGTTTCAGTGTATTTCTAGTTTTCATTGGCAACGCTCGAATTAAAAACAAAAGTAAACTAGTGATATATATATATTTTAGATATAAGTATATCATAATGCTTTATCACATCAAAAGCATTACAGGTTTTTTTTTTTACTCACTGAATAGAAATAACATCAGTGTATAATAATGTACTATACAAAGTTATATATTATAACGTTTATTGGAGTAACTAAGCAATCTTGTCAAAGAATAAAGCATTTTAATATATTTCACAAATGTGAAATTTTATGGACTATCATATCTGATTAGTAACTCCTACGCACAAGCATGTATGTCACCGACAGTGATCGTTTTGTTTTTACAACAGCTAACAGTCTACAAGTTTGCTCCAACAGCCACACCAGCCTAGACTTCGAAATTTCAGCAAATACTTTGTCAACCACAAAGAAAGTAGTTGATCATTTTGGTCGAACAAATGACTCGTACAAGGAAGCCAACAATTCCAAAGAATTTAATAACAAACACACAACGCGTCCCTTACGAACTCGACGCAGTGTCCTACAACTGGCTAACGTGTTGAAGTGTGTCACAGGTTGCGATCCTCTAACTTACAAAGGATACGGATGTTACTGTGGTTATATGGGAAGAGGAAATCCAGTGGACGGAATTGATAAGTAAGTATTGTGTATGAAAATAACGTTTTATTAAAATTAATTTAAAAAATACAAAAATATACATTGCTCCGTCAGAAGGGTACAGAAATGCAATCATAGAAGGTTTCTAGTAAATGCTATTCGAGTAAGGCGGAACGTGCCTTTGACCAGAATAACTACTTCTATTTTGCAAGTCGTACTCACATCTGGATTCTGACAGTCGTCCTATGAACAGAATGCATCTCACACCATTTCACACAATTAGAATTCTTTACCTTACCATCGTCTCAACTCACCTGTCTTCTGATTCCTATTCTTAAGTACTGAAGATTGCGTATGCCCTAGAATTATCAGTGTTCGACTACTAACTCACGAAAAGTTTGAATCGTGCACTTCCTTCAACATCAGCGACCTTTTTTATCTTGTGTGCCTCTTTACTGATATTTACTGAGTTCCCTTATAGAGCATAAATACATCTAGTTGCTTCTGGAGTGGCAGTATATGCTGTTCATATCGGTACGATCCTATGGTGAAAACAAAGGCATAATAAAGTGTGTCTATACGGCTTAAATATTATACTGATTAAACAGAAAATAAGTGTGTAAAATCGAACATATTATGTATCTCGATTCTCCCCAACATAAATATACTTTTTTTTACCAATTACATATAAAATAATTGAAGATTTAACTTACCTTGTTAACTTACTTTACCTTGTTAAGCAGTACTCACTATGTTTTTGTACCTTACCTTAATAAGCAGTACTTACTACGTTTTTTTGTTTTTATCACAGCCCACTAAGTGTTAAAAATGTTTGATACACGATAATGTAACAATCGATTGATGGAGTATTTAAAACAAACGATGTTGAAAATTGAAAGTTTACCAACCAGTTGATTTTTTATTGGTTCAAATTCCACTTTTCACAGAGCAGTGTGTCACATTCTGAATAGTGTTTAAAAAGTACCGAACTGAAAAACTTAAAGGTTCAGTTGCCTGACACAAGTAAATAAATTGGCATAAAAAAAAGACTTCATTTTTAGAAGACTGCTCGTGAATTATCAGTAAAACAATTAAATCTCTAATTTTTATGGAATTTTAAAAAGAGTGTTATTATTGTTGCATTAGTTATATCTTAATCTAGTTAATGTGCCCAGCATAAATATTCCAGTACGAAATGTTCATTTTTAGTAGGCAAATATTACTAAATAATAATACTACTAGGTAAGCCTTAATATAGTCAACAATTTTTAATTAGTGCCTACTTCAAGCATTTAAGTTGGCCCATAGTAGCTACGCCTAGTTTTTCTACGATTTAATTGTATATTCAAACAATGTTCGTCTTAAAATAGTCAACAGTCTTTAATTAAAGCCTACTTCAAGTATTTAAATTGGCTCATAGTAATTACGCCTAGTTTTTCTACGATTCAAACAAATAGCCAAGTTGTGTCAGATGTAAAATACACACATTTCTGTTTTGATTTCTATCCCAACTTATGTTTTAACGGAACTAATTCTGTGATTATTGTTATGAGTGAGGCAAACTACAGCTAGAGTCTTTATTTAGTGAGACGAAACTGTTATGATTATTTCATAATATCTAACCCAAAAACTGTCAGTACCATCTTAAAGTTACATTTTTGGTCTTAGAATTATGCAGCCTAATAACCCACTGACCAACTGGAAAATGTTTTTGGTGGAATGATTGCGACAACAGGAACTTTTTTTCTTTGTTTTTGATGTTGTTTTCGTTCTCTTTTTTTTTTCTTTGAGGGGGGTGGGGGTACTATGGAGGTCAAGCATCAATTAGCCTTGAATGCAGTTGTTAAAAGTACAGCGAGTTTTACTGAGTTAAGGAAGGCTATCCCGGATAGCATAATTCAAGGGCAAATAATACGGATGTCGACTGTGCGTTGTGTCATTAAAACACTTGTTTGTATTCTTCAGCTGTTGAGTGTAATTTGAAATCATCAAACGGCCTGAATGACACGTAAGGCGATGAAGACTCCTACGCTTCTGTCATGGTCATTGCCAAAAATAGTCAGTTTCTTCAATAACACTTTGCATCCAAAATCCGTCAAGGATTGCTGGCGCCAGGTAAATAAGGGGTTCGGGAATTCCCTCAGGTAAAAACTTCCCGTCCCTTGGCATACAAATATATATATTACACTGCTTTGGTAATAAGAAATATTTTAAATTATTTCGATAGTGGGAAATGTTTTAGGGTGTTTTGACAATGAGAAATGTATTACAGTGTTTTGACAACGGGAAATGTATTACAGTGTTTTGATAACGGGAAATGTATTAGTGTTTCAATAATGGAAAATGTATTACAGTGTTTTGATAATGGGAAATGTTTTATAATGTTTTGATAAAGGGAAATAAATGTCTTTTATAGTGTTTCATCTCCAAAGCTTCAGTTAGAAACTGTTAAGCTGACTGTCTGAATTTTCTCAATATGATAAAATCGCCATCTGTTTTATAACAGATAATAATCAGCTATTTTTAAATTCATATTTTCTGTTAGAATATCTAGCTATCTGTAGTTTTGTCAAGGTCTATTTATTAAGCCTCAAAAATTTAAATAAATCTTCCCCAAAAGCCTCATTAACAGATTGTGCCAAACACAACTGAATATATTTTTCTTCTCATTAACAGATTGTACCAAACACAACTGAATAAATTTTTTCTCATTAACAGATTGTACCAAACACGACTGAATATATGTTTATTCTCATTAACAGATTGTACCAAACACGACTGAATATATGTTTATTCTCATTAACAGATTGTACCAAACACGACTGAATATATTTTTATTCTCATTAACAGATTGTACCTGACACAACTGAATAATTTTTTTCTCATTAACAGATTGTACCAAACACGACTGAATATATTTTTATTCTCATTAACAGATTGTACCTAACACAACTGAATAAATTTTTTCTCATTAACAGATTGTACCAAACACGAATGAATACATTTTTTCTCATTAACAGATTGTACCAA